AACGTACATCTCGATCTGACACAATCGAGATCGGTACCCCATGCCGCGATACCACCTCCCTCACATACAACTCTGCCAGCCTCTCAGCAGAAGAGCTCTCACTGATGGCAAGAAAATGCGCGCTCTTCGTCAGCCGGTCGACGATCACCCAAATTGCATCAACACCCCGTGCGGTCCTCGGCAATTTGGTGATGAAATCCATAGAAATCTGTTCCCACTTCCATTGGGGAACCTCAAGTGGCTGCAACTTGCCATGCGGACGCTGGTGCTCGGCCTTAACCCTGCGACAGGTCAAGCACCTCTCAACAAACCATGCTACATCCCTCTTCATACAGGGCCACCAATAGTCCCTCTTCAGGTCCAAATACATCTTAGTGGCTCCGGGATGGATCGAGAACCTCGATTGGTGCGCCTCCTCCATCAAACTGGTGCGCGTCCCTCCTGCATACGGCACCCAAATCCGACCCTGAAAGGTCATCAGCCCACGACTATCGGTAACAAACTCAGGTACCTGCCCAATCACCCGCTCTCCCTTGCGGTTCTCCGGTCTCACGGCCTCTGCTTGGGCCTCCCGAATGGTGTCCAACACCGGAGTCATCACTGTCAATCGCATACAAGTGTCTCGAATCGTGGCACTCTCCGCCCTACGACTCAGCGCATCAGCTACAACATTAGCTTTGCCCGGGTGGTACAGGATCTCACAATCGTAATCCTTTACCACATCCAACCATCTCCTCTGGCGCATATTCAGGTTGGGCTGATCCATCAGATACTTCAAACTCTTGTGGTCCGTGTATATGGTACACCGAACCCCATACAGGTAATGGCGCCAGATCTTGAGGGCGAACACCATTGCCCCCAACTCCAGATCGTGGGTGGGATACCTCGTCTCATGAGGCTTCAGCTGCCTCGATGCATACGCTATCACATGCCCTCTCTGCATAAGCACCACACCCAACCCTGATATCGATGTGTCACAGTACACCACAAAATCCTCCATTCCCTCTGGAAGTGATAACACCTGGGCTTCGCACAACCTCTGGCGAAGAGTCTCAAACGAGGCCTGCTGCTCAGGACCCCACGAAAAAGTAACGCCCTTCCGGGTCAACCTGGTGAGAGGCACGACGATCTTGGAGAAATCTTTAATAAATCTCCTATAATAGTCGGCCAACCCCAAAATAATCTTATATGACTTGTTATGCACAAGGCATGTGTAACGACGTAAATATCCAAAACAATTTTTCATTTTAAAAACATACTCTCATTCATACAATATCATAGTAGTCCAATGTAACACATGTTATCTCAATAAACAAATCCCAAGATCCTCAAATACATAAATCCTCTCAGTGTGTACAGATCATGTCGGCGCCTTCCCGCGATCCTCGCTAGTACCTGAAACATATAACACAACAACTGTAAGCATAAATGCTTAGTGAGTTCCCCAAAATACCACATGCAACACATACGCCACTCGAGGCTACAATACGACCCTCCGGTCGATGTGTCTCAGCGGGACCCTCCAGTCCCGTAGCTCGTTGGACCCTCTGGTCCGGTCATAGCTCGTCGGACCCTCCGGTCCAGTCTGTGTCGTTGGACCCTTCGGTCCGATCTATATCGTTGGGCCCTCCGGCCCGGTCTGTTCAACACATAGCATACATACAACACAATGCACATAGCTCATATATATACACATAGCATACAAGACCCTCTGGTCTACACATAAATACCACTCTAGGTAATATATAGTGAGAAGACTCACCTCAATGAAGTCGGATAAACTCTCGTGCTCAACGTCCCGACTTAGCCTCCTCCTATTATTCAGATAACATCCCCGATCAATATTCACTCATGATCTCATCTCTACAGATTGGGTAGAAGGCCATTCTACCCTTCCCTGAACTCTCCTGAATCAGTCTTGACGAGAACCCTAAAGTCAACGAAAGTCAACGGTCAACTTTGACCCGACTCGTCGAGTGCACAAGGGCGACTCGGCGAGTCCATGCGGATCCTCTGAATCCTTTCAGCCTCTCTTGGCTCGTCGAGTCATCCTTCCACTCGACGGGTTACACCTGTCACGAATCGCGGGGCAACCCCGACTCGACTCGTCGAGTCCATTTATGGACTCGGCGAGTTGCCTCCATGTTCATCCTCAAATGACCTCCTAAGGTTAGATATGCTTCCCTAACTATCAGATCTACCCTTTAAATGTTCAAATGTCATGTAAAGGTGCAACCTTTACGTGCATGCAACCCACAACAAGTCATAAATGGAGAAATAACTCTAAAAATGGCAACCTAGTCCCCAATCTTTCATTTGCTTGCATAAAGCTGAGGGATAGTGACTCTATGGACCTCTCATGGTCCAGATCTGATGCTATTAACACAAAGGGGGCCTCATACTCACTAGATCTTACATAAAATGGAGGTAAAACCCTAAAATCATGAAATCTATCATATCAACACGAAATAGAAGGGATTATACCTCCAGAGATGAACTCTCAAGATGATTAGCCCAGATCCAAGCTCCCTTCACGCTCTAGATGGGTGTTTCCTTCTTCCTTCTAGCAAAACTACACCAAAAGTGATGTATTAGCCTCTTCTTGCTCTCAACTCTCTCACTGCTCTCTCTAGGGTTTCTCTGGGGTGCATTGGCCGCAAATGGAGGCCATAAAGGCCTTTAAATAGGGCACAGGCCCGTGGATTTAGGGTTTCACTTTACAGTGCGGACTCGCCAAGTCCACGTATCTACTCGTCGAGTCCGGTCATTAATCCAGTCAAGAACTCGCGATCCTACTCGGCGAGTCTGAGCGTCTACTCGCCGAGTCCCTCCATAAAACCCAAAATAAATAACTAAAAATAAGATACCTGGGAATCCGGATGTTACAGCATGCGAGTCATTAGATTTACTAGCATGAACTCTTTAAGAATTCTTCATCTTGAGTTTCCTCAAGATTCCAAGTATTTTCGTTAAATCAATTAGACTCTAAGTATACTTTCTTGTTCCTCCCATGTGTGTCATAGCGAAACAATTCATAACCTATGTAGTTTGATTTCATACCAAGATGAGATTTATTGGGTTTGACCTTGAGCAGAAAGCGGGAGTTCCCAAAGGTTGAAAGATCGTAAACATGAGACAAATCAACTAGACATATCCCTAGGCCATTAGATTGGTTCTACCGATCGATCCAAAGCAGAATCCTCCAAATGATAGGCATGGTTTGGATGTATGAGATCTTAGTGATTTTGGAAAATTTAGAGATAATGCCAGAGAAAGGGTATTTCAAACCCAAAAAATAGGTATTTAGGAAAGCATACCCAAGAAGAAGAGACGAAGTCTGGTTGAGACTTGACATCAAAGGGTTTGAAAATAGCATTGACGGGAAAAGCTCCAGCCGATTTCAAAGAATCGATATCCTCGTCGTCAAAAGAGCAAATCTCATCATAAGACAAGATGTTCTGATCGACTAAGTCTTCGCACAGAAGGGGTCGTGATGCTAGAACGAGAACGAGTAATCTTCTTGCCCATAATCGAAGGATTGAAAAAATAAAAGAGAAGGAGTAAGAGAGGTACCTTCAAGAATAGCCGGTGATGATCAAAAGGAAGCAAAAGGAGTAAAGACAAGTCCTCCACTATTTACCCCTATTTATCTTGGTAGCGGATGAGAGAGAAGTGATTTGACTGTGTCATCATGAGCATTTTATCCGTTGGAGTTTGAATTTCAAAAAACTTATCTATATTTCAAATAAAATTATACCTTTAAATATTCAAAATTAACTTAAATATTTTGCAGGTTTAATTTGGGGGCAATTGTTAGAGCCAAGATCCTCAATCCTATCTAGGATCCTGGATCTCAAAGATATCTAAGGATCCCGAAACATATTTCAGGATCCTGATTATTATTATTATTATTTCCTAACAAAATTTAACGGCTATATTTCTTGTTTATTTCTCACATGAGTAGAAATGGTCAACATAAGACTCATTCTCAACGAAGAAACGTTTCAATCAGGCTTAAGAACCGAAAATACCAAGTCAAACCAACATGTTCATACTTATTCAAGAGGATCCCGAAAATATTGGACTTTTAGTTATTTAGACTAGACTATAAATACACATGTACTATGCACACTACACACAACTAGACTTACTACAACATTTGTACTCTTATACTTACCTCTATCTCTATAACTCAAATTTCAATCAATACAATTAAACAAGGCAGGCGATTATTATCACCTCCCGAGGTTTTATGTCGGAGATCCTAATAAGGATCAATGACTTTCCTTGTAAACCACTTGTGTGATTTTGTTCTCAATTCGATACTTATTTCGACCACAACACCACAGCCTCTCATTCACTTTTGTTGATATTCATTTGATTGATTTTTGACCAAAACAAATATTTTCTAACAAAGTTGTTGCATCTGGAAGGAATACTTCCTGATGAATAAATATATAAAATATTGATGTTTAACGTTAATTGTTTCAAATTATGTATAACTTATTAGATGAATTGTCTGATATGTGTTTTGCGGTTGCCATGTATTTCAGGTTTAGATACTAAACCATAATGGGAGTGGCATTAACAAGTTGGACGCGAACCGGACGTAGTCTTTTGTATCATTGTTAATACTTGGCTTTCATTATGGTTGTGATATTTTTGCTGCACTCGTTGTATGTTTTGAGAATTAAAGTTATGATATCTTTTGTATAATATTGCTATAAATTCTCAAAATTATTATTTAAAAATGTTTCAAAAAAACGGTGTTACAAGGCATTTTTAGTTTTTAGTTTAATTATAAATCATCTTGAAAAGACAAAAAGTTGAGAAAGGTTATATTTGTAACATTATATAGACTTATCCTTACTTTTCTAATTAATGTAATGTTTTCCAAACTTAGGTACCATTATGCAAGTTTCATAAAAATCATATATTGTAGTTTTTTAAACCACTAGGACCATTTGTATAATTTGTCTCGTCTATATATTTGCACAACAATGAAAACATCAACATACGTAAAGCCGACGAAATACCTCTTCCAAACAACTAATACCTCTTCCAAACCACTCCACGCGATCATCATCCTTCGGTTGATCAACACGTCTTCTAGGGTTTTGATTTCGCATGCTCAAATTAATATGGAAATCAACAGTGTGGATTCCAGAGCTGAAGCTGGACAAGGAAGAATAGTCGATACATTAAATTCTAGGGTTCCAACTTTCTCAATCAGCGATGGAACAACTTCCGCAGTTTCAGATTCCCAACAGGTAATCGTTGCGCAATTCATGAATTTCTTGATGTTCGTATTGAACTCTATTCGTTGATGAGTCATCCAATCTTGCTTTCGATTGTTGTTACTGTGGTTACGAAATATGTGATAAAAAATCCGCCCAACAAAAAACAGATGATGTTTGGCTGTTGTCTTTCGATCGATTAACTAAGTTCCAAACTCATATAAACTTTCTTATTCTCTTAGAATATCAAAATTACGTTGAAACTAATAAAGAACAACAGAATTTGAGAGTTCGCTTGGAGTTTTCATAATTTTTTCTTCATATTGGCAGGACATTGGAGCACTTAAGAACTGTGAAACTCCTACTTCCGCAAGTGAGCAAACGATTAATGACAAACATTCTGACAATGGCGATAACTTGATAACAAATCTGTTATGCCAACACGTGGCTGATACTGAAGGATCACCAGATGATGATGAGCCAAGTAAGAATCGGAAGATGTTAGGAAAATACTTCTTTTATGATCCACCACTTGCTGAAGAAACCGGGGTCTGGATTCCAGTTTCCGTTCCTCCCATGTCAGAAAGTGATTTTGAAGAATGGAATCGCGGATTCTCCTCAGTCGGTGGAATCTTCCCTGATGAAAACATGGATTGGTTCCATTTTCTTGAAAAAGACAAACAACTCACCATGTGGGATGTAGTAGTCGAAATGCTACTAGCAGTTCGTGGAAAAGTCAACCTTTTGTCATCAGGTGACACCGTTTCATGGATTTCAAGAAACCTAATTGACCAAGCCTGGAAAGAAATGGCTCAAACCCTAACCGAGGCTAATTTCGGTAATCTCCAAGAAATTCTCGAAACCCAACCACCCAAATGGCTGCCGGATAGTTCTGCTGCTGCTTGTATGCTGTGTAGTGTCAGGTTTCACCCCATTATGTGCACCAGACATCACTGTAGATTTTGTGGTGGGATTTTCTGTGGTGAGTGTAGTAAAGGGAGAAGCTTGCTGCCCGTGAAATTTCGGGCAGCAGATATGGAACGAGTGTGTGATGTGTGTTTTGTGAGGCTGGAGGCTGTCCAGCCATACTTAATGGATCAAGTGAGCCGGGCAGCTCAGTTACCAACTTATGATGTCACGGATCTGAGCACATTAAGATCTTGGCTGAATTTTCCATGGGGGCAGTCGATGGAGTATGAGATATATAAAGCCACAAACACAATTCAAGGTTATAGCAAGGTAAGATAAAACATTTTAAAATAACTAAATGTAAATTTTTTTTTTTTGAGAAATTGATATCATGATCAAATCAATATTTGCTCATGTCAAAAGAAATAAAAGCAAAATACAGAAAAGCACAATGTACTTTCACCGTTTTATTGATTTAGCCCTTAACTATTGTGTAGTGATAAAGCCATTATGTTTTTGAACGTTTAAAAAACCCTCTTTCCAGGTTACCTGATTTTGAAAAAAAGGTTAAAAATATAGAAAAGCACAATGCACTTTAACTCCATTTTGTCGATTTAGCCCCTTAACTATATTCTATAGTGATTAAACAACAATACATTTTAGACTTATGATTTTGTGGGGTCACCTGTTTTTTAAAAAAATGTAAGCTTATCGAAAAGCACAATGTACTTTTATCATTTAATCAATTTAGCCACTGAACTATTATCTCTTTTTATAAATCTCAATAATAATAGTTGAGTGGCTAAATCCATAAAAAACAATAGCCCAGTTGCTAACGCGATAAAAATGGTGAAAGTACATTGTGCTTTTCTATATCAAAACGGCAATCCGGAAAAATGTTTTTTTTGTTAAATTAGGTATGTGGGTAAATCGATTAAACCATAAAAGCAATTTTGTATCTGTATTTTGCCATAAGAAACTATTATAATGTGAGAAAGATGTTGCAGGTTGGTTATTTGAGACCTGAAAAGTCAATTCCTGATGTGGTGTTAAGGCATGCGAAGGGGCTTGCTATACTTACTATAGTGAAAGTTGGTATGATGGTGACTTACAATATTGGAACTGGATTGGTTATTGCACGTAGGGAAGATGGCTCATGGTCTCCACCTTCTGCTATATCTACTATTGGTGTCGGATGGGGTGCTCAGGCAAGAAACTTTTATTTTATTATTTGTATTTTTTTTAAACTAAATTTAATGTTTATTATCTTCTTCTTCTGGGTCAAAACCGTCTAGTCTGGTCGTTGAACAACTATTATTATATGAAAGAATAAAAGTTTGGTGGCTAAATAGATAAAATCTTGAAGTATGTTGTTGTGCTTTTCTGTATATTATTAACCTTTTTTAAAACTTGGTAGCCAAGAAAAATAGTTTCTTATATCGTTCAAAAAAACGTATAATTATTTAATCATCTGATAATACTTATTAACATGAATAATAATTTACATTTTTAATCAATAAAATCATTATTTACACAAGAAATTGTATAATTTAGTAAAATAAATATATTTCATCGTGTTGAATTTATTTTTTGCAGGGTGGAGGTGAATTTGTAGATTTAATAATTGTTTTAAGATCAGAAGAAGCTGTGAAGACATTCAGCGGTGATGTTCATGTCTCATTTGGAGCCGGTTTAAGTGCAGCAGTTGGTATTACTGGACGAACAGCTGAAGCTAATGTACGCGTTGGAACCTGTGGATATGCTGCATGTTATACTTACAGCTGTACAAAAGGTCAGGGTTAATTTCGTCTTTATGCAAGTATCCACTATTTTACTTGCATAACATGGTAAATTTTGCATGAGTTAATAAAATAAGTGAAGCATTGTTAGATATATTTTGGTTTTCGAATGAATTGATGTCTAAAAAACCACTTTGTTGCATAAATGTGCATCTAAACCATTTTATAACTGCCTTACCATTAATTGTTATCCCCAGCTTTAAGGTTTCACACTGAGTTTTTACCTTTTAATAAATAGTTTTTCTTTTGTCTTGAAGGACTTAATGGGTTAAGCACTTAATTCTGACAGCTATACTTGATTTTTTTTTTAACTAAATCTAGAGAGATGGCTTAATGGGTAAAGCAAAAAAAGACATACCTTTGTGTATATATACAACAACCCTTTACCTGTTTTTCTTTCTTTGTTTTTGCCTCCCAACTCCGCCCATTATAAAATTTATGAATATTGTTAAAACTGATCAGGCTTGTCAACTTGTTTATTATAATGTAAGGGTAAAATGGTGTGCAAATTTACCCTCATTTATTTCTTCACTCCATCTAGTCAAGTTTTTCTTTTGTGATTTTTCTATTAGTCATATTGAGATAGTGTGTACATTTCAGGGGCATTTGTGGGATGTTCACTGGAAGGAAGCATTGTGACAACACGTACTCATGAAAATTCACGATTCTATGGAAAACAGTTGATAACTTCACAAGAAATTCTGCTTGGTTCATTGCCTAAGCCTCCAGCTGCTGCCACTCTTTATCATGCCCTGGCAGAAATTTACCAGAAATTTGGTCATTGATTTAATGGTTTCTTTCTAGCATCATTAGAATTCAACTCTGTGCATATAATTCATTAACCTCTTTATAATAAAAAAAGAAACAAGGGGTCCATCTGAAATATCAAGTAAATAGATAATTGTCTATCAGTGACACATGTTTGTACATATTACTGGTAAATTTACTGTATATAATAGTATTATTTAGTGTTGTTTGGGTTCATGTAATATTGTCCCATTTGCCCTCAAGGTTTCACATTTTATTTAATTTGTTTTATTATGTAGAATTCGTATATGAACTATAACATTGAATTCACAGTATAACAGTTAATTAATTTGTATATAATCACAACTCCCTTCAAGTATCGCCTAATCAATTTGATCGCTTTCCAACGAGTTTTTTTCCGGATTCCTCATAAACATGCTTGTTATGCTAGCTACATGAGTGAAGTCAGGTACAGACCATTGCATACAAGTGCATACATGAGATTTCCAATTTCACTGGAATATGGAACTCTACTCATGTCATTTCTTTATTTATTTGTAGTTTGTATAGTATTTCGATCAAGTTTAAAATGTGATCGTAAAAGTGTTCCAATTGATCAAAATAAAATGATTTCCAGACTTTTTCCATGTATTCTTGTTGAGAAATATATAACAATCTTGCTCTTCTATCACTTTGAATCCACATCCTTAATGCCTACTCAAATTTATCTCTAAAACATCATTTTAGAGGTCATTTTCGCTCCAATCAACTTTAAAAAATCATGCTATATTTGTGTTGGTTTCTTTTTAACACCAAATATAGAGCCAAATATGAAAGCCTCTAAAAACCACCATTTTAGAGGTTGGTTGGAATGCAATCACTAAAATGGTGTTAAATAATCACCATATTAATGTTTGTGGTTGGAGAAACTCTAATATCTTCTTTGCAACTCTCGAATCCTTCATCTCAAACTTCTTTTTTAGTAATGACCTCAAGTCATTAATCCTAACCATATTATGCTGCAATGAGCATATCATCTATGTATAACAACAAATATATGTAGGAACCATGAGATAATCTCGTTGAATAAACATAGTTATCAAACTGACTTCGAATGTAGTCGTGTTGAAATCATTAACTATCAAACATAGACAACTTCAAACCATAAAGATATTTATTCAACAAACATAGTGATTGTTCTTTAAATCAATGAACCCTTCTGGCTTTGACATGTAAATCTTCTCATCTTAATTGTTGTGAAGAATTGTAGTATTAACATCAAGTTGATCAATCTCCAGATCAATGGCACTCACCATAGCCAGTAGAATCACATCGTTTTTTGCTTCACGATAGATGCAAAATACCTTGTGATATTCGATTCCTTCTTTTTGAAGAACCCTTTTGCCACCAATCTCGTTTTGAACCTTGCTGGTTCACCTCCAGGAATTCCTTCCTTTTTCTTAAAGACTCAATTACATCATACTGGTTTTGCTCATTCCGTTAATGAGACAAGAACCCATGTTTTATTCTTCTCCAATGATTTTAGTTCTTCATGTATCGTCATTAACCAGTTTTTGAGGTTCTGACATTTGTGGAACTTCTTATTCTGCAGCAAAAGGACATGCCAAGGTGTCTAAGCCAGAAAAAGAAGAAAGACACCGGAAGAATACATCAGTTATGAACGATAAGGAAATCACATTCGATGAAGTGGATATGGAAGGCATCCAGGATCCCCACCATGATGGATTGGTGATCACTCTCTTTTTCGCCAACCACTTTGTCAAAAGGATCCTTGTCAATAGAGGATCCTCAGTCAACATCATACTCCTCGACACACTGAAAAGGATGAACGTCCCAAAATCGGAGATAGTTAAAAGGTCCTCAGTGTTGATAGGATTTAGTGGTGAAACAAAGCACACGATCAGGGATATCAAGTTACCTATCTACATCGACGGGGTAAATTCTATACAATGCTTTTATGTAATTGATACCTTGTCTTTCTATAATATTATATTAGGTAGACGTTGGATCCACGACATGAAAGCAATACCATCGACGTACCACTAATGTGTAAAGATGCCTACTCCTTGGCGGATAGATCACAACTGATCAACAAGAATCTAAGGAATGCTACAAGATCTCGATGAAATCTTCAACAATACCATAATAGGCATAGCAATTAAAGCAGGGGGCATGAGATGTGCTATAAGCAGGAGAACAAGATGTGAAGGAAGTGCCCCTAAACCTTGAGGATCCAGAAGCCAGAGTCTTCATAGGATCCTCAATACTAGAACAATTTGAGGAAGAACTAATAAAGTTCTTAAAAGATAAAAGAAAGACCTTCTCTTGGAAACACGAGAATATGAAATGTATAGACAAGAAAATTATAGCTCATAAACTCAATATAGATCCTTCTTTCAGGCCTATCACCAAAAAAGAAGGAAATTTGCACCCGAGAGGAACAAAATCATTCAAGAAGAAATTGAAAGACTTCTCAAGATAGGGATGATTAAAGAAGTGAAGTTCCCAAGATGGCTTGCCAACGTAGTGGTGGTCCAAAAGAAGAATGGAAAATGGAGACTATGTATGGATTACACGGATCTCAACAAGGCATGTCCTAAGGATCCTTTCCCTTTACCACACATAAACTTGATGATAGATGCCACGACAGTACATGAGCTACTGACATTCATGGACGCTTCAATAGGATTACAACAAATACATACGAAACCATACGATCAAAAGGATACTGCCTGCATAACTACTACATGTATATATTGCTATATTGCCATGCCTTTTGGTCTTAAAAATGCAGGAACAACATACCAAAGGGAAGCGAATCAAATTTTTCAGGACTAACTACGAGAAATTGATGATATGGTGGTCAAATCCAAGAGAGCTGAAGATTACCTCAAGGATCTTCAAGGAGCCTTCGACATTTTAGACGAATACAACATGAAGCTAAACCATTCCAAATATCACTTTGGGATGAAGACAGGAAAGTTTCTTGGATATATGGTCACGAAGAGAGGGATAGAAGCCAACCCTGAACAAATCAAATCCATAATCGATCTAAGATCCCCAATGGCGACCAAAGATATGCAAAAACTGACTGGAAGAGTAGCGGCCCTTAACATGTTCATTTCAAGATCCTTAGATAGGTGTAAACCTTTCTACGACATCCTGAAGAAGAATAGGAAGTTCAAATGGAATGAGGAGCATGTAAAAGCCTTCCAAGAACTCAAAAAGTATTTAAGTTCAGCACCACTACTAGTGAAAACCATTGAATGGAGAACCACTCCTCTTATATCTTTCAGTATCCTCAAACGCCGTAAGTGAAGTCCTAGCTAAGGATCTTGACAGGGACCAACATCCCATCTACTATGTAAGTAAAAGTCTACTAGATGCTGAAACCATGTATTCTCATCTCGAAAAACTAATACTAGCTCTAGTAACGACTTTTACTAAGTTAAGACACTATTTTGAAACTCATACCATACATGTAAAACATAACTACCCAATTAAAAATGTTAGGAGAAAGCCAGAGATGTCAGGAAGAATGACCAAATGGTCGGTAAACCTCAGCACATTCGATATAAAGTATGAGCCAAGATCCATGATAAAGTCACAAGCATTAGCAGATTTTGTGGCTGACTTTAGTGATGATCTACAAGCCGTAGTGGAGATAAAAACAAGACGACTCCTACAGAAGAAAAAAACATGGGAATATGGACGCTCTTCACGGACGGAGCATCTAGTCAACGAGGAACCGGCCTTGGGATCATACTAAAATCGCCACAGGGGGACATACTACCCCAACCCGCTGGTAGTGAGTTCGGTGCAACCAACAATGAAGCAGAATAGGAAGCACTGATCATGGGACAACAACTAGCCAAAGATCTTCAAATCAAGGATCTTCAGGTATTCATAGATTAGATGTAAATTACTAACCATTTTAATGGATCTTATGAAGTTAAAGGCGAAATACTAACATCATATCTTCAAATTCTTAAAAAATAGCCTCTAAATTTGAAGCCTTTACCTTAAAACAAGTTCTCAGGTAAGAGAATGTTGAAGTAGACGCGTTGGACAACCTTGGATCTTCCTTTAGAATCCCACCAGAGACGAAAATTCGAATAATCAATGTAATGATCCCAACGATTGAAGATCTCGATAACCATGATCAGACAACCAACATCGCAACTGTGACAACCATCAAATTTTGGTCAATTCAAAGTCAAACAAAGTCAACAAGTTAAACCGGTCAACTCCATTAACCCTTGTATGTTAGGGTTTACGTTATGTAATCACTGTACAATTCGCTATTTTAATGAGAAAACATCATTTGGAAAGTTCCTGTGTTTGATATTCCTTAGCCTTAACAGTGCTAAACAACGAACCAAAGCGATAAAACATTATTGCACAATCATCGGGATTGTGTAGGACACTAAATCATGGCTTAACGGGGTCTATGGACCTTGCGTTGCGAAGCCGGACACTCAAAAAGATCACAAACGAAACCTCTCTCAATCTCATTCAAATCCTACTCAAGATTACTTGACGCTAATAGGATCAAAACTCATACACTACGATATAAATTGACGTTAATAGCAACATAGTATAGTACAACGTTATAACTATAATCAAATTAAATTATGATACCATATTAAAATCAAATCAAAGTATAATGCTCTAATTAAATTTAAAAGAATCAAACTTGAATGCTATAATTAAACTTCAAATCAAAGTAGATTGTTATAAGCAAATATAACTCATCTTTTATAAAACTCCATTTTTATAAACTTTACATTAAATTTTATAAAACTCTATTTTTATAAACTTTACATTAAATTTTATAAAACTCTTATATTAATTATGTAAAAGATGCTTGTGTTAGTGGGAAATTATGAAGACCACCAAAAGCAAAAAGATTATTCCCATGGTCTCCCACTCACACCTCCCATCCACTTTCCTTTCCTTTTTCTCCCAACACATTATTCTCTTCACCACTTAAACTTTCTCTATTCTTTCTCTCACTCTCAATCTCGAAATTCATCCAAGAAATACTCATATTCCAGCCAAGAACAATCTATTATACTCAAATCTTCATCCCTCTTGAAGCATTCATCAATGTATGTTGTTAAAAGTTTCAAATTCATACAAGAAACA